TTGTCTTCCGCGGGCCAATAGTACAACTTCTGCATGTATTCAATATTAATAACACATAAATAATTTTCAAATTATGACCGACAATGAATATTATATTATTTTTAAAGAGAATTCAAAGTAATGAGAATCTCTGAAATGCAAGACATGTTTTGTGAAATATTAATTAGACAAACTAAAGTATTCAAGATTATAGACTATAAATTACTGTGTTGCACATATATATGATGTTATATTACTATGACAATCACTTTCCACGGTACCATATTCAGCCTACTATCACTTCGAAAAGAAAATGCATACACAGTATGTTGAGGTACACTTAGAAAATTCACTCAAGAAAAGTGCATAAACATAAAATGCATCTTCAAATCAACACCAGTAATTACTCAAAAACTAGTTGTAGATTTTTTTTCAATCTAAAGTGAACATACCTCAAATTCATTAAACCAACGGTCTCTAACATAATCCGGTACCTTTTTCCACGTAGGCCATGAACCACTTAATGCTCTTTTGAATATTGCAACCAATTTTCTCGTAGCACTTGAAGGATCAAAGTTGTTAAATAAATCAAAAATATTTATGTTAACACAATATATATCTATTAAATAAGGTGATCAAAGTTTATCTATCTCTGTCCACTTTCAATAAAATTCGCCTGGTACCAATTCTTTCTTGTGAGATAGTCGTTTGTGAAAAGATACAAGTTCACCAACACCTCTTATAAACTCATCTGTCAATCCTTTTCGACTTTTCACAAGTCTATTATACATCCAAGTACGATCACTTCTAATAGAACTCATTATTGCTACATTCAAAAACCGAAGTTGATCGATGGATTACACACAAGAAAAAAATGTTAAATAAAAAATTGCTCTTGTGAACAGTGCCACAAATTATTGTCAGCATATAATCAGCAATATCCCAAAAATTATACACATAATCCAATTAGTAGTGAAAGATAAGGATTCCCCTAATATTTATAAATTTTGAGTAATTCAACAGAATCGAAATTCCCGTAAGTTCTTGTGCTAAATTTACTCTTTTAACTACATAATGTCCCCAAAGTCTTCAATCAATATACACCGAGAGAGACAGGAGACATAATTAATTTAAGAAAATCAATAACATTAAAGGTAGAAGTTTACCTGATTTTGGACCTCGCTTTGAGAAGTACGTTCGCGGGAGGGGATGTTGAAAGAGAACTCGTCGGCGTGGAATGTTTGACGCCCGTTTGAGTCGAGAAACAACAACAGATTTTTTTTCTTCTGAAAATTGGTGTTTGCTCGAGATTAGAAATTGGGGATTTTTTTTTCTTCTCAAAACAACGATATAAAAGTTAGAGAGAGAAAGAATCGAAAGTTCTGGAACAAGGGTTTAGAGAGAGACATAATCGGAGTTCAAATAAGAAAAGGAGAGAGAATTAATGACTTAATTAGTTTATAATAAGGACTCTTAATTTAATTTTAGCACTGTAATATTAATTCTTGTGACTTTGAAAAGACCGAATATTACTGTCACTAATATTAATTCTTTTGGTTTTTTTATTATGTTTACATTTGTTGAACGGTCAACATATTAATATTACTCTATCACACAATAATAATGAGTTTTGTTGTGTTAATATTAATGTTCTAGAGATTAATATAGCAATATTACTATGTTAAACTGTAGTATAGTTAATTTTACTGTGTTTAACAGTAATATGGTTAATATTACTGTTAACGACGAAAAAATCTAAAAAGTCAACGACGAAAACCGGTGGCGGAACAATCAGGAAGAAAAAAAAAAAAGAATCAACGGTGGTGACGGGCGAAATAGTCCAGAAACATGTGTTTTGGGTCAAAATTGAATAATTTGTGAAATTTGGGGTCAAATTGAGGTTATATTAAATTAAAGGATAAAATTGGAGCATATTAAATTATGAGGGGCTATTTTAGTCTTTTACAAACCTTTAGACCATGTGTGGACTTTTTTGTAAAATAGTTTATTGCCTGAATCTCTTTATGAATAAGTACCCATTGATGGACTTATTTGTACAGTGCCCTATATATTATATTGTTTGGGGTTTATTGCATTTATCACCCATGTGTTTACTCTAATTGTTAAAAAAATCCCCGTGTTTTAAATATTATCAAAAACATCCGTAATTTAATTTTATAAACAATCTACCCCTTAAAACATATTATTCGGGAGATATTGTTCTAACAAATACATAAGAAGAGTTTTTTTGATTTCTTATATTTATAACACAATAAGTTTTTACTAATTTTGTTAGCTGACATTAGGGGTGGGCATTCGGGTCGGGTTATTCGGGTATAACCCGACCCGGTCGAGTATTACCCGACCGGATCGGGTAATTTTTTACGTAGCCGGGTTTTTCCCGGGTTCGGGTACCCGGTGATCCCAAACCGGGTCGGGTCCGGGTAATAGAAATTCTACCCGGGTACCCGATCGGGTACCCGGTTTAAAAAAAAAAAAATTTTTTTTATATATATATATATATATATATATATATATATATATATATATATATATATATATATATATATATATATATATATATGTATATCAGTATATGTATCTGTCTATTTCTATATATATATGTATACCTTAAAAAAAAAAAAAGAAAAAAAAAAAGAGGAAAATAGCAAAACCCGAACCCGACCCGACCCGGTTATCCGGTCCTATGAGGTAAATTACACCCACATACCTGAGGTATACTTAAATAATTTTAAGGTCCCTATGGTATTGATAATTACACTCACCCCCCTGAAACGTAGTTATAAACTCAAATGGGGTAATGCATTGGATACATTATTCCGATAGGGTTCTAATGAACTATTACTTTTAGGTAGTGGTGGAGATAACATAGAGTTATGGGGAGTTATGTGGTGACATGGCTCCCCGAATATGTCTTAAATCACCCATAACTCTTTGTTGTCTCCACCACATCCTAAAACCAATAGAGCGTTGGAACTCTATCGTAATAACGTATCCAATGCATTATCCCATTAGAGTTTATAACTACCTTTCAAGGGGGTGAGTGTAATTATCGATACCACAGGGACCTTAAAGTTATTTAAGCATACCTCAGGGATGTGGGTGTAATTTACCCAAAAAAAAAAATAACTCAAGAGCTCGAGCTCGGTAAAATGGACTCGAGCTCGAGCCGGCCAAAATCTAATCTCGGCTCGTTCACACCCATAGGCTTGAGTCCATCATGACAAAGGGTGAACTCACCCCTAAATACTGTATCGGGTGATTTTTTACTGTTGATCTATATACACCAATATGGGTGTGTATTTGTGAGTACATAAAAACTAAAAATATATTGGATGTATTTTAACCAGAGTAGCAAAGAATAGACCCATATTGCCTATATGAATGTGTGTGTGAGAGAGAGAGAGAGAGAGAGAGAGAGAGAGAGAGAGGGCACTTCACTTGATGGCTTATAGACCATTATACTTACTACGTGTAGTTATTTCCTTAACAATTATCCTATGTGTCCTATTTGATGACACGAGACAAGTTTCCAGCACTCAAAAAACAATTTTCACAATACAGAAGCACTACGTTACAATATATATGCACATTTTCTTTCTTTTACAAACTACTTTCTGCCCAATATATTTTATATCAAGTTTATAATATGTTACGAGTTTTTTCTTTACAAAATTATAGGCGTACATGGAGAACATGGATAAAGAGAAACAATTGTCTACTTGATAATGCAACTATACAAGGGCATACCCAAGCAGTGGCTTGGGCGTGGGGGTTGGCAATTTTTATTGATTTTCATTTATGTATTTTTAGATTATGGTATATTCGACCCCCTAATTTATTTTTCTCGAACTCCCGCCCCCCCAAATAAATTACCTTGGGTATTCCTGTGCAACTACACACTCAATATTTAATGAAAAATATATTTTTCGTGTGCGACATTGTGCAAGGCAAGAACCATATCAGGTCCCGTGGAGATTATAGATGGCTTCGAGAATGCAATTATTGTGTTGCCTAATGGTACCACTCTTCATACTGAAAATGCAATGTTATCCGATAGATAAATCTACTGATTTTCAAAGATGTCAAACGCAAAGGATATCATTTAGAGACACTAGTTGAAAATAATATAGAATCTCTATGTGTTACATCATATGTTATGGACAAAAGAATTGTTCATGAGAAGTTCGAAGCGACAACTTCTGGACTATATCGTGTTCAAATTCAAGCTTTCGAATCTTATGCCACTATGCCACGGAAATTAGTTAATCTCAATATACTTGGATTATAACATGATCGACTGGGTCATCCAGGAACGACTATGATGCGTAGGATTGCACAACATACTAAACAACATCTTTAAAAGATGCAAAAATCTTAATGTCCAATGAGTACTTCTGTGAATCATGTGCACAAGGAAAGCTCATTATAAAACTTTCCATTGAAAAGGTCGGTTATGAATCACCATTGTTTTTACACGATCATGGTGATATTTGTGGACCAACACACCTTGCAAATGGGCCATTTAGATATTTTATAGTTCTAGTGGACGCATCATGTAGATGGTCTCACGTATGTTGGGAATCAGGCACGTGCACGCAGCGGAAAACAAAAATTTTAAGTGAATTAAACGAATTTAAATCACATAAACACATGTCCGACAAGTATTTAAACAATTAATTCCGTACCTTTGCGCTTCCAGCGAAAATTTAAGCTAGAAAAACGGGGTGGACCCGTTGGATCAAAATATATTGGTCCTAGAAAAAGAAACGGAAAATTAATGAAACCTCGAACCAAGTGGTTCCTAGTGAGAATGCTCAAGATCAATCTTTTGAGCATGATGTAGAAAAAGCGAGCTCAAATCACGGGAATACCGAGAATCCCATAATTTGTTGCAATGAAATATGGGATAGAAATGAGATAATTATCGATAATATTTTTGCATTCTCGGTTGCACAAGAAATTATGTACGATAATTATGGTAGTGAACACGTTCCATAATGGAATGTCGTCAAAGAAATGATTGGCCTAAATGGGAAGAAGCAATAAAATCTGAGCTCACTTCTCTAGAAAAGCGGAAAGTAGTTGTGCAAATTGTTCAAAATTTAGATAATGTAAAGCCCATTTGGTATAAATGGATATTTGTCCGTAAGAGAAATGAGAACAACAAAATTGTACGATATAAACACTTACCACAGGATTACCTTCACAACGCTAGGTCTCCTGCAAATACTTACCAACGTAAGTTATCAATAATCGTTATTTACTTCATAATTCCATAAATAATTTTTTTTTTTAAATTATGGATATATAGATCATAACAAACTGTATGTGTTTTTATTACATGGTCATATATTTTCTTTAAATTAACTGTTATTTGTTCAAATTCATTGGACTCAGATAAACAAACTCAAATTCAGTCAGTATTTTCAACTAGAGAAGTCATTATGGACAATAATGTTTTGTCTCCAAAATTTGTTGGAAGTAAGTATTATCATTTTGTCATACCATATATATATATCTATATATATATATATATATATATATATATATATATATATATATATATATATTAAAGTACAACAAATTAATATGAAAACATTACAACAATAAAAAAAATCGCAGGTTTTCCAAAGTCCTGCCAATTGACTGTCGACGGATCTCAGATGAAAGAGAACCAATTCGCCAGAAACATGTCTGAAAATAGTACGTCATATATACATACCTATTTTTGTAGTTATTGATTGGGTATGGTTAATATTTATTATTAAATACGTTATCCTGTACTATTCATCAATATAAACGTATAGGTTATACTGATAAAGGAAAATGCAAAGAAATAATGATTGAACAAGTTGGAAGCAAACGAGGTAAAGGAAGCATTACTGGACAAAAGAAATTGCTTGGTGACGCCTTCAAGGGAATTAATCTTGATCGAATGCGTGATAACGGCGTTCTAACCGACATATCCAATGGTTAGCTATTCAACTATATAAGGGTTAATTGTGTCTTTATTAATATATATTATATGGTACGCATGTATGAAATTTTATTGAATGGTCTTAATGAATATTTACATCTTCTTCATATTATAAGAAGTAAAATATTTTTGAACTACAAGTATATATATATATATATATATATATATATATATATATATATATATATATATATATATATATATATATATATATATATATATATTTCCACATATAATTAATATCTACGGTTTTAATGTGTATACCACAGTATATGGAAGTCCGCACTCATCTTTGGAACATGTTGCAAAAGAAAAGGATAAAGGTATTATTCCTAAACAAACAAAATTGCTAGGTGATCCTTCAAATCGAGTGAACATGGTTCAAATCCAATCGAGTTATACTACAACTAATCGTTCAATTGGTTAGTATTTAATTTAACTTTAAATACGAATATCACAAACTGCTCGATCTTATAGTATTTTTTTACCGTCATTATTTCGTATAGGTCATAACTAACTAAATTTTGTTCTCCCAATATCCTTCCACAGATGCTGACAATGGTGTACGAAAAAAATCATTTCCAACATATATAGAAAAATTGACTAAGAAAAAGAAAGGTATTATAACAAGTATTTTTTTTAGCAATAAAAAACAAGTGGCATTAATTAAATGGGGAGTAATTGTGGTGTCGATGCTATGTTAGACGTTAATACTGTTATCTTTGTACAATTATTGCTAAATAATTATAAATAAATGAATTTTATAATAAAGAAGTTATGTTGTTATTACAACAGATGACGTTGAGTACTGTCGCAATGGTGTATCTACATCGTGTGAAGATCATTTACAAGTTACAAAATCTTATTATGAATCAAATAAAAGGTGCGATTTTATTTTTTAGGACTAATTTTATGTCTTATGAAATGATTAAGTGTGCAATACATGTAGACAATAATCCAGTTTTTGCTTTCATTTCTATAGAAGCTGAATGTTTACTATTATGTTAGTTGTACCGTGCGGAATGGAAAGAAGATGACTAGGAGTCATAAAACAATTGACTCTGTAACACGTATGTTGGATATGACATCAGTACCCGCTATGTTGGTAGATGAGGATTTACAGACGTTAAGAGACAATTCTTCCGACAGCGGAGGTAATTATCTTTGTCATCATCTAATAACGTATCTCATTGCTATGCGTTATTTGTCAGTATATTTTTCTACTGTAATGATAATTTTTTGTTCATAAATGTAGATTCTGAATATGTTTCCAACGATGAGAATAGTGACGATTCAGTTGACGATACTGGTAAATATTATTTTAATCTAACAACTTTTAATCTTAACATTACTAATTATATAAATTCATTACATTATTTTAAATGAATAATATTATTTAATTAATTTTGGATAGATTATGAAGATCTTGGAGACCAGACGTATGAATGTCCTTTTTGTGGTTCAATGATGTGGTACGGTGAAAGAATTGACAAGCATAGACAAACATCCAGGCCCAAATTTGGCTTATGTTGTATGTCCGGGAAAGTCCAGCTCCCAAAAATAAGAGATGCACCTCCTACACTTAATAATTTAGTGTTTGGCACTGATCGGAGGAGCAAACATTTCCAAGAGAACGTACGATCGTATAATATGATGTTTTCTTTCATGTCGCTTGGTGGAAAAGTGCAGATATCTATTAATAACGGATCTGGTCCATACACATTTCTGTTACACGGACATAATTACCATATACTGGGCAGTTTATTGCCGGAAGAAGGCACTAGGCCTAAGTTGCCCAACTTTACATTTTCGACACAGAAAATGAGATTCAGAATCGAATTGATGCCGTCAGGTAAAATATTCGGACTTATATTCCTGTTCTAAGGAATATAGAGCTTACAAATTATAATTACATTATTTTTTATTTGACAGGTCCGGAAATCAATCTAACAATCTTGACCCAGCCATCGTTGCATCGTTGAAAGATATGATTGACGGTAACAATATACTTGCACAGCATTACCGTGTTGTTCGAGATCGTTTTTCCAATGATGGCCATCAAGGAGTAAAACTCAGATTGGTAAAGAGTCGCAGTACTGATGGCAGGACGTACAATCTTCCTAACGCAAGTGAAATAACAGGCTTGATCGTTGGTGACTTTGACACACAAGAGGGTGTTAGGGATATTGTAGTTGAGACGCGCTCAAATAAGCTTCAACGAATCAGTGAGCTCCATCCTCTTTACTTGCCTCTACAGTATCCTATTTTATTTCCTTACGGTGAAGATGGTTATCGAGACGATATCAGTTTGAGAGAATCTTCATTTGCTCATAATAGAAAACGAAGGGAGGTAAGCATGTGAGAATTCTTTGCATACCTAATTCATAAACGGCATGGAGAACATTCGTTACTTTTGCATTCCAAGAAGTTATTTCAGCAGTTCTATGTTGATGGATTTTCGATGGTTGAGTCACAGAGGTTGAATTTCATAAGGTTCAATCAGGATCAACTTAGGGTTGACATGTACAAGGGTATCGAAGAAAATATTTTTAAAAGAGACACTGAGGGTAAATCGGTTGGACAACGCATAATAATTCCAGGATCGTTCACCGCAGGTCCAAGGTATATGTTTAACAACTTCGTTGCTGCTCTTCAAATATGTAACTGGATTGGATTTCCAATCCTCTTCATCACCATCACATGCAATCCCCAATGGCCAGAAATACAAAGGGTGTTAAAAGATACAAATCTCAGGCCGGAGGATCGGCCAGACATTCTGTGTCGTGTGTTCAAAATGAAGCTCGATAGTATGATGACGGAAATCAAGAAGGGCCGTATATTCGGACGTATTAGAGCATGTGAGTATTTAATTAGATATCCATTTATAATTAAACATTTAATACGTTTATATAAATTAGATAATTTAGTCATGTGCGAGTTTCACTACTTTTTGCTTCATTAACTAAATTAATTCATATTTTTTAATACCGTATGTTTACATTTTTTATGCAGATGTATGCACAATAGAATTTCAGAAACGAGGTCTATCGCATGCACATATTTTATTGTGGTTGCATAATGACGACAAGCCCAAGAATCCAGAAGAAATTGACAGGATCATATGTGCTGAAATTCCTGACGAAGAAAACGACAGAAAGATGTACCAGTTGGTGGAGAAGTATATGATACATGGACCGTGCGGTCAGGCGAATTTGAAATCTCCATGTATGAAAGATAGAGTTTGCACGAAGCGATTTCCAAAGCCGTTTGTGCAGCGCACTGAATCAGATGCAGATGGGTTTACAGTGTATAGGAGAAGGGAAGATGGCAGAACAGTTACGAAGAACAAGACTACTCTTGATAATGGGTTTGTGGTCCCCTACAATCGTATATTGTTGAGTAAATACCGAGCTCACATTAATATCGAGCTATGCAACCAAAACAAGTCAATTAAATACCTGTTCAAATACGTAAACAAGGGGCATGGCCGAGTCACAGCGGCATTTTATGAGACACGCAATACAGATGGCGGTGCTGAGATTCGTGATGAGATAAAGATGTACTACGACTGTAGATATCTTTCGGCGTGTGAGGCAATGTGGAGGTTGTTTAACTTTGATATTCATTACAGAGACCCGTCTGTAATTAGGCTAAGCTTTCATCTCCCCGATCATCAGCTAATTGTCTTCAATGAAAACCAGTCGTTACAAAGTGTGTTGGATAGGCCATCTGCCAAGCAAACTATGTTCCTGGCGTGGTTTGAGGCCAACAAGAACTATCCACATGCAAGGGACTTGAGGTACGGAGATTTTCCACAAAAAATTGTGTATAAAGAGGATTCTCGAACTTGGGTGCCAAGGAAAAAAGGATTTTCTATCGGTAGAATTGCGAATGTTCCCCTTGGAAAGGGGGAAGACTATTACCTTAGGTTGCTACTTAACATTCAAAGGGGATGCACGTGCTACGAGGACATCAGAAAAGTTTTTGACATCGTCTACCCTACGTTCAGGGATGCATGTTATGTGTTGGGTTTGCTAGATGACTACAAAGAATACATAGATGCAATAAAAGAAGTGAATACTTGGGCATCGGGGGATTATATAAGAAGGTTATTTGCGGTTATGCTGCTTTCCAATAGCTTAAGTCGGCCCGAACATGTTTGGCAAAGTTGTTGGTTGGATTTGGCTGATGGTATTGCTTACAAACAACGTCTTCATAAAAATCCAGGTATGGCAATTTGTATGGCATTGTATTCAATTAGATTTTACGTATTAATCATTCTTTTAATATTGTCTATGTACGATTGCAACTAGATGCACATAATTTATCCATTTTTTTATTGTTCAAGATTTACATATATCGGATGAAAGCTTGAAGAACTATACTCTCACCGAAATAGAAAAAATATTGCAAAGCAATGGTAAAAGCCTGCAAAATTACTCGCCTATGCTAGTTCCAATCGAATACTCATATGAGGACACATAAAACATATTGGTGTTAGATGAACTGGATTACGACCGGTTTGAAATGGGTAGAGAACTTCAACAGTGTCTTGCTTCCATTACAGATGAGCAAAGAAAGATTTATGATGTAGTCATGGATGCAGTAACCAATGACAGTGGTGGAATGTTCTTTCTATATGGCCATGGTGGAACGGGAAAGACGTTTCTATGGAAAACTCTTTCGGCTGCAGTTCGTTCGAATGGAGAGATTGTAATTAACGTTGCATCGAGTGGTCGTTATTGCTCCCCGGTGGAAGAACAACTCATTCTCGATTCGGACTACCCATAAATGTACATGAGAGTTCCACCTGCAGCATATCGTAACAAAGTCCACAGGCAGAGTTGCTCATAAGGGCAAAGCTTATTATATGGGACGAGGCTCCTATGATGCATAGATACTGTTTTGAAGCCCTTGACAAGACAATGAAGTCAATATTACAGGCTGACAAACCCTTTGGTGGTAAGGTGGTTGTTCTTGGAGGTGATTTTAGGCAGATTTTACCAGTTGTGCTCAAAGCATCAAGGCAGGACATAGTACATGCTACGATAAACTCCTCTCCGCTGTGGAATTTCTGTCGTGTTATGAAGTTGACTAAGAACATGAGATTGCAGTCATGTTCTTCTCCATCTAATGTGGATGAGATAAAAGAATTTGGAGACTGGATACTGAATGTTGGTAATGGGGATGTTGGGGAAGACAATGATGGTGAAGCTTCGATAGAGATTCCAGATGACATGTTGATTGGTGATTCAGAAGATCCATTCAGAGACCTACTCGAATTCGTTTACCCGGATTTGTTGAGTAACATGTACGATCGAGATTATTTTCAAGGGAGGGCAATTCTTGCACCAACTAATGAATGCGTCGAGTCTGTGAACGATCACTTAATGTCTCTTCTTCCAGGAGAGGAGAAGATGTACCTGAGCTCAGATAGTATGTGTAGGGACGAGCACACAATGGAGGATAATGCAGAAATTTATTCGACTGAATTCCTCAACACAATAAGATGCTCCAGAGTTCCTTCTTATGCGTTGAGGATCAAGGTTGGTGCACCCGTTATGCTAATAAGAAACATCGATCAAGCTAGAGGATTGTGCAACGGTACCAGACTTCAAATTATTAGAACTGGCATTCACGTTCTGAGTTGCAAAATTCTTTCCGGAAAAAATATCGGTGACATGGTGTTCATTCCTCGGATGACTTTAATACCATCTAACTCCGGACTGCCAATTAAATTTCAGAGAAGACAATTTCCGTTGATTGTTTCTTTTGCAATGACGATAAATAAAAGCCATGGCCAAACTCTTTCGCATGTTTGTTTGTATCTTCCTAGGCCTGTCTTCAGCCATTGTCAACTATATGTTGCAGTGTCCAGAGTTAAGAACAGAGGTGGCATTAAGATATTCATCAAGTCGGATTCGGCTGAACTCACCAATGTTACTTAAAATGTCGTGTACAAGGAAGTATTTCATCGAATTTGAAGGTAGAAAATATTTTCATATTTATCATTTATTCATGTAACATGTTTTTTATTTTATTTTTAAAGAACTTATTCTTTTGCAGGTGTTTCTTATCTATATATTTTCCCCGGTGCGATGTTATTTCCAGTCATTTCCCTATGGTGCTCGGTGCAATTCTTATTATCTTTAAGATTTATTTTTGACGATATACTAATATTTGATAGTATTCTTATATTATAACTATGAAGAACATGACACTTATAACATATTTTTATTATCGTTGGTCGATTACGTTATGTACTTAGATTCAGTGACCGTAATAATTGTTATCTGCTTAAATTTATTTTTGAGACATGTATTTTCAGTCAAAAATATGTCGCCCCGTGCATCGCACGGGTGAATACTAGTTTGGTATAAATGGATATTTGTCCGTAAGAGAAATGAGAACAACAAAATTGTACGATATAAAGACTGTCTTGTAGCTCAAGGTTTCTCCCAGCGCCCTGATTATGATGAGATGTATTCACCAGTATGAATACAATCACTTTTCATTTCCTTATTAATATGGTCGTTCAAGAATGATTGAACATGCGTCTAATGGACGTAGTTCACTTGAACATGGTTCACTTGATTATTATTATTATTATATATCTATATATATATATATATATATATATATATATAAAATTCCAATGGATTTAAAATGCCTAAGGCTAGGGCTCAACGTGAGCTGCACTCAATCAACTTACAAAGATCATTGTATAGTGTAAGCAATCTGGTCGTATGTAGTATTATAGGTTGAGTGAATATCTTATCAGGAAAGGTTATAAAAATGATCATATATGCCCATGCATTTTTATTTAAAGTCAGAAACCGAATTTGCTATTATTTCGGTTTATGTAAATGACATGAACCTGATTGGCACTACTAAAGAGTTAGCCAATGTTGTTGAATATCGAAACAAAGAGCTTGAGGCAACTCTCGGTGGTGGTGGCGGCAGGTGGCTGTGAGGATGGAAACATGTTTAAATATTTTTTTATATATATTTTGAGTATTTACAAATAAGATTTAAAAATATATTACACTAAATCTAAAAACCAATTTATTTTTATTCTATCTACGATAAAGCACCACCACGCCGATTTATCGTGTGGCGGCCGCTAACCCCCTCGGACCCGATAAGTGATTTTAGAACCTTGGTTTCAAGTGCTAAGTGGACTCAAATGAATCCCATATCGATCCTACAGGCGGATCTCCAAAATTACCTATCTCATGTAATTTTACATAAATATTTAATCATGTTTTCTTAACCAGTTACCAGTATTGTCTGCCTTTTTCCATTGTTGATCGTTCTTGATTAATTTTAGGGTAAATTACAACCAATTCCTGAGGTATGGTCAAATTACGAAAAACCCCTCATGTTTGGATAATTACAATTACCCCTCAACTATAAATTTTCTTACACGTCCACCCTTATGGTGTCAAATTCAACATAATCTTCTAAATTCCGTGGAATTTTCTCTAGTTTGTACTCGTTTTGTGCAAAAATGCAGTTTATGATGGACCGCAATCTGATATATACAAGCCAAAAAAACACATCTTATGATCGATCATCTTGCTTCAAAATGTGAAAGTCGAATGGGATAAAACGGGTACAAACTTGAGAATATTTCATATAATCTAGAAGATTCCACTAAATTTGACTCCGCGGTGGTGGACGTGTAAGGAGATTTATAGTTGAGCGGATAATTGTAATTACCCAAACAAAAGGTTTTTTTTGTAATTTGACCATTCCTCAGGGGTTGGTTGTAATTTACCCTTAATTTTGTAACTACAACTAAGTTTACTAGCTACTTGAGGCAATGGCACGTTCAAAATTAAATGAAGCATAAGAAATGGTGGTTCCGTACTCGGACAAAGAGCAGTAGTATTTGCATATGCAACAGAAACCATTAAATTCAATATCATCTTGTACACAAACCAACAATGAACAGAGCACTTATTACATAATTTTCAATATCAAACGATAAAAGACAATCAAATAGCAAACATAAAAGGCACAGCTACCACAAAAAAAAATATATCAAAAGAAAAAAAAAACGAATCATATCAACAAAGCTCTCAGTAGATTCTTGGATTTTAAGCATCAGTTCTAGCAGGCTCGTCGGCCTTCGTTTTTCGTCCTCCAACTTGGCTTCAACAACTTGTATAGTTTCCTCTATTGAGGAATTGCTGAAAAGGAACTAAAAATTGGGAGTAAGAATCTAGCTAAACTAATGAGATTAATACCGCTCGTTATAACATTTTCTCAGTCCTTCACGAGAGAAATCTGTTCATAAAGACATATTTGATTGTTCTAAGTTCAAATTGAATTGAATTTGTCCTATAGAAAAACATTGAGAGAACTAAAACTTATGTTATGGTCGAATCAAACGAAAACTATATTTGCTTCTGTAGTTATTTCGACCTGAAATCAATACAACGCGTGGGAGAGTCTATGGACGAGTGCTTTTTGTAGTTGGAAAACATGCTTTGAACAGTATACGTGCAAATATACGGTACGACTCACAAATATAAATAGTAACAAGAATACACTCGAGGCAAACTGACTTGAACCAGCCAGCAATACGGATTTAACATGCAGGACAAGAAAAAAGTGCAGGATATGGCTGTGTGTGTATCGGCAAATTGGCATGCAGAAAGTCACCAAAATTTTTTTTAATCAAACGAGTCAAGATACGCACGAGAAAAAGGTACCTGCTGTAGCACATGATAGTTTGATCGAGTGGTTAATTATCGTTAATCTCCAGGAGCAATTACGAGGTAAAATCCACCCCTTTTAGCCCTATGCTGCTGTCCCTGCATATTTTGTTTTTCCGCCTCGATTTTCCGTGCAGAGGCTACTGCAGTTATGCTGACACGTTCGATATCCAATACCTGAAGGCTTTTATGCAGCAGAAGTGGAATTTCTTCAAGTTTCTCGCAGTTTTTCAAGACAAGACATTTAAGACTGGGAAAACAATCATTCGAGGATGTCCAAAACTCGAGATCCGTACGCGCAATGAGCAAGAATTCAAGAGACGCAAATTTGCCTTCGACACCAGCTTCCCAGAATTTCCCGACGAATGCAAAGTCTTTCAGTTTGAGCACCTTTAGTGCACCGAGCTTTCCCAATGTTGACATATGCTTCCAACTCAAATGAGTGGCCGACAATTCCAAGATTTTCAAATTTGGCGGGAACCTATCTGGTTGAGGGAGGCGGCTCAACGGGTTCTCGGATGTTACGTCGGGAAATACATCGTACAATAGCTTCAACTTTTGAAGACGGTTCAGTTTTCTCAAGCACTTGCTATCGGAAAGAGTGGCTAAATCCCCGCGAATCCCCAAGTTTATTATGTTCGGGGTCTTGTTGAACAAATCTTCGGTACAACATTGGGTCGATAATGTACTGAGCGTTTGGAGGTTATCCGCAATTTCACCCTGCGATTCGCTGCTAAGTATAATGGCTGCTTTCGTCTTGAAATGCCTCAACTGCCTCATCTTCCATATATTTGCTTTGATTTCAAATGTGCGCGACATTGTGTCGATTCTAATAGTCTGTAGATTCCATAGTTTGGATACGGCATCGGGAAGAGACTTGAATTCGTCGCCGGACAAAGCAATGTACTTCAAATGAATTAGTTGGGTTAGCTTAACGGGAAATTTTGAGAATTTTATGGGGTTTGCATCTAAAACCCTAAGCGAGTCGAAGGCCTCAGGAATTGATGGGATGTTTTCTAAGGGCAATGTGATGGCTTCCTTTGAAAAACACAAAAAGGAACGAACTTT